ATTCAACATTGATTTATCACTTCATCTAGAACTTGAATCTTCTATCTAATGAGGCCTGATATAACTTCTTTGATAAAATTCCATCATCAGAAATTAATGGACAGTTGTTACAATAGAATTCCTCGAATGTAGTTTGACTTTAGGCGTTGACATCATAAAAACCATCATGATCATTTGACGGTTGCATAAACTTGTACCTGCAAGCTCTTAGATCAACATTGTTATAATATCCCTTAAATGCGATTGAGTGTGATCTAACATATTTGGAAAAAGAGAAAAACCCAATTTATACTAATATGCATACAAAGGTTCATAATCTTGTGATACTATCCCTTAAAGGACGAAACATGTATGTAAAACTATTACTTCAGATTCACATTCACAATTTTTTATAAATTAATGAAGTTGATGCATTTGTAACCATTGTATTGAAATCAGACAATATGTATTTTAATATGAATTTTAATTTTTTTATAATATAAAATACTTACATTTAAATCTATAAGTTATTCGATTTTGATTCAACAATCAATAAATGATGATTGGAAAATGCGTAATAAAATTATTTTTGCTTGGAAAGAAGGATGATTGATCATTGGATGACTTTAATCATTTGTCTATGTCAAGTATGGAGGTCATACCCTATAACCCCCTATTCCTTCATAGATGAAGCATCCTTCAAGTTGGTCTATGTCTCATACGTGGTAATCCTAGTAGATATTGGTTCACCGACTTAGAATAAAGAGCATGTTGAAAAAAACAGGTGGCGCACTAGCATTAAGAAACATCCTGGATCAAATAGATGGAGTAAGATAAAAAAAACACACTAGAAATCTCAAAGCATCTAGTTAGAAAGTATGACTCCATGGTCGTACCTATAGAGATGAAAAAAGAAGACATAGTCTTGAAACAAGCCATGCGTCCAGTTAAAGGAGAAAATCTAGGCTATAACTAGGAAGGCCCATACATAGCAAGAAAAAAATTCCTAACAAGGGTGTATAGATTGGAAACTTATAGGGTGAAGTCCTTCCTAGAACATGGAGGGAAACCAATCTTTGTTAAGTGGGACCAAATGTAGCACTCTCCCTTAAATTAGATTGAAAAAACTTGATTTAAACTCCTCCTTAAAAAAAGAGATTGAGTCTTACAATAATTTACCTTAAATGAAATCGACTATGATCCCAAAGTCTCTTGAAAAAGGGAAGGTTTTGGCTTAAACTCCTTCCTAAGTAAATGAACATAGTCTTGTGATACTCTCTCTTATATAGCCTTGTCTACGACCTTGACATTAGTTGAAAATGGGAAGGATCTAACGCATACTCCTACCAAAATAAAGAGATTGAGTCTTGTGATACCCTCCCTTAAATTAGATCGACTGCGTCCCTAAATTCTTTTGAAAATGGAAAGGATCAACTTGCTTATACTCCTCCCTAGATAAAAAGACTAAGTATTGTTATAATATCCCTTAAATGGTATTGATTGTGCCCCGACCTATTTTAAAAAGGGAAGAACCCGACTTATGCTAATCCTTATACAAAGGTGTCGAGTCTTGTGATACTCTCCCTTAAAGGGGATCGACTACGACCCTTTACTTTCTTCAAAAGGAGAATGACGTGACTTATACTCCTCCCTAATTAAAGTGATTAAGTATTAAGAAAAAGAATGTCATGAAAATGAATAAATTCAGAAGAAACATTCATCTTCATTAACAGATAATTAATCTTACAAATAGAAACTAAAATATCACGTCAGAAAATACATCACAAAATGAAAAATATTTGCAATGGACATTAAATAGTAAGAAAAACTTCAATCTAGAAGTGTCTAATTTATAACTTGTCCAGAAAGACCGGAGACAATAGGTATCAAAATTTACCCTTAGTTACAAAACTCCAAAGGAATGATTGTTCAAATGTCACATTAACATACATCTTTCAAAGCAATAGGAATTCAATTTCCCTCAAGCCACTGCTAGAAAATTTTAAAATATTGTATACCGCCCTTCACAAACATCAATTGTTGAGCGCGTAATAGTATTAAATTTTTTTGAGTGTGAATATTATTGTTTATTGCGATCCTATTTTGCTACAATTGTGTGTAGAAGATTACCGATTTCTTAAAAAATCTATTAAGGCTCATTTGCATCTAGCTCATCATTTCACAAAATCTTATTAATTTCAGGGCTGATTTCATTGTGAATTATTCTCTTTAGCCTTGCCGCCAAGTTAGTGCATGGCATTGACTTGTCCTTGTTTTACTCAATATGGAATTAGGGAATGAATCCAAAAGGAATGGAACTAGATGCTAGTAGTGATGAACGAACGACCATAATAATGCACTATTTTGTTTACGTAAATTACAATCAAAATCAAACCAATATAATTCTAAAATGAAGACAAAAGTGATGGCTTGTTGACATGAACGGTTGGTTGAGAAGAAAAGAAAAAGAGTGGACTTGTAAAGCATAAAAATTACCTTATCTCCTCCTTCACCTCCTCCATCATTGCCAACTTCTAGGCTTCAATGTTATCATCATAATCTTCACATATAGAATCAAATACCCAATCATGCCAAATTATTGGCTAGTCCACCTACTCTTTTTCTTGCCCTTCTCAACGTGGCACCTCTTGTTAAATACCACCTATGAAAAACAACTAAATAAATGGTATCAAATTATCAACATGTACATTTCTTTTGCTTTCTTCACCAACTTGCTAGCTAGCTAGCGACTAGGAACAATAAATTTAGAGAATGAAATTTTATTTTAGAATCAGCATCAATGTCATGCATAGTGTACCAATCCTTCAAATTTAAACCCATTCTTTCCAATATTATACATACACATTTCTTTCTATTGATTTACTCTATCGTATATATTTTGTGATATTGAGATTCTTACCAAATGGTTAGTGATAGATGTGAAGTTTTTGGTTCGCAAAGTTATATATAATGGATGTCTCTTTCTTATCCTTTGGAAATAAAATAAAATAAAATAAAATAAAATAATTAATCCAAAGTTGACTTTGATCTCAAGCAACTTGCGATTGGTGGGAAAATGCAAATAATTAAGCATGTAAATTTGGTATAAGAACACATATAGTAAAGTGTATTTGGTTATGATACAATAAATTAGAGTAGTTAAGCTCTAATAAACTATCTAAAAAGAAAACTAGAACTCATGATGATTTTTTGGGGCAAAGATTAAGATTTATAGTGGGAAAACAATGATAAATTTGTTTTGAAATTAAGGTTGAGAAACATGTGATTTCTAAGCACGTTTGTTTATCTTCTTCAAGAGCTTCTAACTAAATATTTTTTATAAAAAGAAATAATTTTATAGGGTTAATTGAGTACATCTTGTTTTCCGCAAAAGAAATTAAGTATGTGTCTGACTTAACATATTTACACCTTCAATATCACTTACACTCTAGTAATTAGTTGCATGTATTAAATTAAACCAGTTTAACCATTAAATTTTTAATATTTTATCATGGTGATTATGTATTTAAAATTTTAAACAATTTAATCATTTGTTACTGTATATTCTACTAGTTGATGTTTATGTATGTTTTAAATAACTTATCATATATTCAAATAAAATGATGTGAAAGAATATCAAATAATTTTCGAGTTATATAAACTTTTTAGACTTTGTCTACTTGATAAAAAAATTTAATTTAATTGTTGATTGATTTAATTCATCTCTATCAAAGAGTTATTGAAAGTATTAACTCTTAGTTAAACGGTCGAATTGATTTAATAAAAAATTATTTTATGTGTGTTGAAAATAAGAGGAAGACATAATCACTAATACTATAGATCTTTATGATCACAAGAGTGAGACATTACATCTTCACTCAAAATTTTAATGCATTTACTTTTTTCATAAATGAGAATTTCCACCTCCGATAATAAGATCTCACGCGCGGGGTGTAGATCTTGCTCAAACCAAACCAAATTCAACTATAAGGCCAATGTTCTAAGAGTATAGGAGAGAACGACATCACACATCTCCACACAAAGTCTTGAGATTTTTTTAAGATGTGTGATACTAATCTCTTATGATCTTTAATGTTTAGTTAATTACTTCTTTCTGTTTTATATGGATTCTCTAATTAAAAGTAACTTTGATACCAATTATTAACGAATTTGATGAGTGCTGAGAGCCACAATAAAGTAAACGTTTAGGATTCAAAAGAGTGGACACCATATTTAATATATTCAACATTTATTTCATTTGTAATCAAGGTAAGGGTTAATTATTCACCCTTAAATCTAACAATATAAATGAGCTACAAAAAGTATTAATTCCCAAATGATTGAAAAGGAAAGCAACCAAGATAAAAAAAAAACATTTAGAGTTTATAAGAGATGTGTTAAAGTCTTATATCAATTAAGAATAGAAGAAATGTTGGATTTATTAGAGAGGTGATTCATATTCTCATTCTCATTATCTTAAAATTTTAGATGAATATATGACGTCATTGTCTCTTAAAATTATAAATATTTGACTTATTAACACTTTCGGATATCGTTCCCCAAACTTTATCCAAATAGTGAATGTTTACGATATTTTTGTAGATATTTATTGTCATCTTTATACATGATACAAGATAAAGGAACAAAGTGTGAATTCATTATTAAGAATTTTCCTTTTTAACATTAAAGAACAAAGTTAAAATTTACTTAAGAAGAATTATACATAGATTATGAGTAATCTTAGTAAATAATAATTTGTTTCATTTAATTTTATGATAATATTTATGAAAAAGAAATATTAATGGTACTTTCTAGAATATTTAATCCATATTAATGATGACTTATTTCAACATTATTGCTTAATAAATAGATAAAGGTGCCCCCAACCAATCATAAATTATATTCATACCCTCCCACTCCCACGTACGATTCTCCAATCTTTTGTCATCTACCTCATTTATTGTCATTATATATGTGAACACAATCAACACATAATGCAAAATTAAATACTCAACATTCTGATGAACACCATCTCTCTTTGTCTTGGTCTTGGCCTCCATGAACAAAGACAGAAGAAAAACAAGGAGGATCCATCATGTAGTAGCTCAAAGGCATACCAATATTCTCTTACGTTAGGAATAGCATCCCTTGATAATATTCATGAGAAAAATAATCAAGTAGCTGCTACTACTACTACTACAAAGATTGAATCAGATGTCTCTAATTCTACAAGCATGCATGTGTCTTCATTTTCCAACTCCATTAGTAACATCAAAAGGGAGAGAGATGAACATCAAGTACACCACCTTCTACAGAAGATTCCATTTGTTGATTTCGATGTTGATGAGAATGGTAACTCTAGCAAGAAGAAACTCAGGCTTACCAAAGAACAATCCACAGTTTTGGAACACACCTTCAAAGACCATTCTACCCTCAATCCGGTATAAAAATTTTCTGGAACAAATTAATTATTATATAATATGATTATGATAGCAATCATCTATATTTATTTGTATTTTGATGATCAGAAGAAAAAGCTAGAGTTGGCAAAGAAGCTGAATCTTCGGACAAGACAAGTGGAGGTGTGGTTTCAAAACAGGAGGGCAAGGTTGGTATTTTCTTTTTCATTATTATATTTCTACCGTAATCACAAGTGTCTATGTAGATTTCTGACACCTGACACAATTTTTTTCGAGATGTGTAGATATTACAGATATCTCATTTTTCTTTCTATGTCTTATAAATATGCAGGACAAAGCTGAAACAAACGGAAGTGAACTGTGAAGCACTTAAGAAATGTTATGAAACTCTAACAAAAGAGAACAAGAGGCTTGAAGAGGAGTTAAAAGAGCTCAAAATGATGAAAACAATGGCGGAACCATTTAACTATACGCAGCTTCCGGTGGCCGGTCTTAAGGTTTGCCCTTCTTGTAAGACAATTTGCAACGGTAACAGAAGTGTCAATGGAACCTCTCACACCACGGCACAAATTCAGTTGTATACAAAGACAAATAATTATATGTTCACCCAATCCTCTGCAGCTATTGCTAGCTAGTAAATACAATTTGCATTTTCAGATTATTTTGCTCTGTAAATGATATCTACACACTACTGGTAATTCATTGATTACTGCTATCATGTGATACATGATAACCAGTCGATGAAGGGTCGAATTGAATGAGTTTTCAAGTACATGCATGTTGTGCACCTCGTGATATAATTGATTACGTGAATCTCATTGATTATTTATACTATATTGTGGTACTTTGTGCACCTCTTTTATCATACAATTTTAATGCATTATTAATCTTAAAATCACTGGCCGTAAGCATAACTTAAGAGAATATTTGTCTTCTATATTTTAGAGTACCTTGACTATCAAGATTTTATTAAATCTTAATGGTAATCTTTTAATTAATGAGATTGATTTTCTAAAATATACAAATGAATATATACAATATATAAAAGAGATTTAATATATTTTCGTAAGCGAAACCGGAGGTTGTCACATGTTGAAACTAAAATGAAAATCATCACAAAGTAGTCGTAAAAAGCCCTTAGTCAAGGTGTCATTAATTTGACTTCGTGAAGGATATGTAACTGGTAAATATGACCACGAGTAACTTTCTCACACACAAAATGAATTTTCATTTCAATGTACTTAGTGTGATGATGTTGAATGGGATTGAAGAGATACATGAATTTATGTTATCATAGTAGATTAATGTGGCCTTCGAGACAAGACAATGTAGTTCAAAAAGAATATTCTTAAGACAACTTGACTCAGATACTATATTAATGACTCCACGATATTCAACATCAGCACTGGAACGAGACAATATATAGGATGTCTTTTGACATACCAATAGATGAGGTTGTCCCCAAGATATACACTATGCTCAGATGTGGACCTTTTTGTGTTTGACCATCCACCCCAATCTGCATCAGTATAAGTAATAAGTTTATCAATGGATGAAAGATACAAATATAGACTGAATCAAGCGCTTCACTTATATAAAAGGAACAATATAATTTTAAAATTTTCACTCGATATACTAAAAAAAAATATCTACACTACTGGTAATTGATTAATTATTACTATTATGTAAACGATAACCAATCAGTTAAGGGTCTAGTTGATTGAATTTTCAAGTACATGCATGTTGTGCACCTCATGATATAATTGATTATGTGAATCTCATTGATTATTTATATTGTATTGTAGTACTTTGTGCACCTCTTTTATCATACAATTTTAATATATTATTAATCTTTAAATCGCCGATTGTAAGCATAATTTAACATTGTGTTTGTTACAATAGAAATATATGAAAAAGAAATAGGTGAGAGAGAAATACAAAAGATAGAGGGCATTTCTTCTGCTTAGAGCATAAGAGAAATAGGGTAGTGTGAAACAAAACATATGAGACCCACATGCTTTTTAGTTCTCTCAAAATTGAGAAGAAAGAAAAGAGCAATGTCACTTTCCACCTCTACTCTTCTCCTAAACCTTTAAAATTGAAAACCCATTTTGTTTCTATTACTTACATCTCTCTCATGAATTGCAAAATATGGTATTATTTTTTTATAAGTAACGCTAATGCATGAATTAAAAATTAAATCAATTATTTTTTTCAAAACAAATCTAATTATCATATTTTAATATTTTCAAATAAAAAATACATCTTATACGAAAATAATTAAATTTATTTAATTGAAGATGTTATTTATCATAACGGTATTATAGTACTTTTAGAAATATGTAATGCTTCTCTCTTCTCTATCTCTTCTCTCTTTTTCTTAAACTAAATAATAATTCAAATATACTTTATTTCTCACCTTTTTCTTTCTTCTTTCACCCTCTCTTATTTATTTCTCTCTTCACAATTTTTCTTCCAAACCAAACATTCTCTAAGAGAATATTTGTCTTCTATATTTCATTGCTTAATCATGTATATATACGAGACTATCTTGATTATCAAGACGTTATTAAATCATAACGGTAGTCTTTCAATTAATGAGATTGATTTTCTAAAAATATACAAATGAATATATACTACATATAAAAGATATTTATTAAATATAAAAGATATTTACATATTCTAATATATCTCCGTAAGCGAAATCGGAGGTTGTCATATGTTGAAACTAAGCCGAAAATCATCAAAGAATAGTCGTGAAAGGCCCTTAGTCAAGGTGCCGGTAATTTGGCTTTGTGAAGGATATGTAACACACAAATATGGCCACGAGTAACTTTCTCACTCACAAAGTGTATATCCATCTCAATGTACTTAGTGTGATGATGTTGAATGGGATTGGAGAGATACATCGTCTTTATTTTATCATAATTAACTAATGTGGCCTTCGAGATAAGACAATGAAGTTCAAAAAGAAGATTCTTAAGACAATATGACTCAGATACTACATTAATGATTCAACGATATTCGAGATCAGCACTGGAATGGGACAGTGTATATGATGTCTTTTGGCATACCAAGAGACGAGGTTGTCCCCAAGATATACACAATACCCAGATGTGGACCTTTTTGTGTCTGAACATCCACCCAGTCTGCATCAGTATAAGTGATAAGCTTATCAATGGAGGAAAGATATAAATATAGATTGAATCAAGCGCTTCAAGAAAGACGTACAATATGTTTTCTAATCATGCAACAAATACACTTCCTACACGACATAAGTGATATCAGATATGCTAAAAATCAAGTATTGAAGTGCTCCAGCAAGATCATAATACTCGGTGGGATCATGATATGGATTTCTATAAGATCCGCCTAGTTTGACTTATGTGTCCATCGGTGTAGCGAATGGTTTGCAAGAAGACATATTGGTGCGCTCAAAAATTTCCTGAACATATTTCTTTTGTGACATAAAAATACCACATGGGTGCCAGGTAATAGAAATACTGGCAAATTAACTAAGATGGCCAAAATCCTTCTTAGAAATTTTGAAGTCGAGTTTAGTAATGATGGATTGACAAAGGGAATCTGAGGAGACAGCTAGAATATTATCATCCACATAGAGAATGACTTAAGCTATATCATTGCCTCGAGAATAGATGAATAAGGAATGACCGAGAATGTTGTGAGAGAAACCCAAAGTAGCAACATAGTCAGTAAACCGCTGATACCAAGGACATGGTGCTTGTTTAAGTCCATAAAGTGAATTTCTGAGAAAGCATACATAATCAGGATGTTAAGAATTGTAAATACCTGGTGGCTGATGCATGTAGACAATTTCATCAAGATTACCATGAAATAAGGCACTCTTGACATCTAATTTTATGAAGAGACCGTGATTTTGATAAAAGGGCAATTAATATCATCATATTATTGGTTGGTTTGATTACGCGACTGAAAGTCACACCACAATTGATACCATTTTGTTGATTGAAACCATCACCTACCACCCACGATTTGTACATCTTAAGGGACCCATCATATTTATTTTATTTATGAAAATCCATAAACTTTGAATAATATTATCATTAAGTGAACTGGGTACTAACTACAGCATCTTATATTTAATAAGAACATCTTTTATGGCCATTTTCCAATTATGATTATGTAAAGCACGAATGATATTGGTAGGAAGTGGAGAAATAGAGTTAGGAGAAGAAGTATGGAGATTAAAAGGTTTGCAAATCTTAAAAATTTGATGTTGTGCTCGGGTGATCATTTAGAGTAAAGGAGATGGGTGATGCGGTGAAATAATTGGGTCGACAGTTTGTGGAGAGGCCATTTGTAAGGACAAGATGGAATTTTGTGTATGTGATGGCATTTGTTAGGAGGTAAGGGCCATAATAGTGGAATATGTGGGTGACGTAGTTATGGCCAATGAGGTAGCATTTTGAGTAACATTTATAATCTAACAAAGTGTGTTTTTATGGTTTTATGGGAGGATTGGTTTGTTGTAGTGGGGTTTTGATAAGAATTTGTTAGCTGTAATCTAACAAATGGCATTTCACTTGTTTCCAAAATTCTTAATTAGAGGTTGGATGAGTATTTAAGGTATAAAACAGAAATGTATTTTTATCAAAGGTGACATGCCGAGAAATAATTACTCGATAACTCATCAAATTTATAATCTCTATGATTTTAAGGATATCCCAAAGTACATATGGTATCGAGGGAAACAGTAATTTATTATTGAGGTAGATGGAAGGAGAGGGTGACAAAGACAACCAAATACTTTAAGGTTAAAGTATTACTAATATATTTTCATAGATGATTTTGGTGTGAGTTTGTAAGGTAAGCTTTTTGTTAAGGATGATATTGAGGAGGTAAGTGGTCATGTGTAATGCATGATGTCAAAAATGAGGTGGGAGAGAGGCATTAGCTAGAAAGGTTTGAACGATAGTATTTATGGTGAAAATTTTTCTTTCTGCTTTTTTGTTTTGAGGTGAGGACTAGGGAAAAGAAAATTGAAATGTCATTCTATTTAGTTCACAAAATTTATGAAAGTTTGCATTGTCATACTCTTCCCTTTATCACACTCAATACATTTGATTTCTCTTTCAAATTATGTTTTAATATGGAATTCAGTTTAAATGGAATGAACTTTAAATTTATTTTCAATTGGAAAAGTCCATATAAATTTGTAAAATCATCAAGAAATAAAGCATAGTAACGATGTTCACCTTAACTTAGAATATGTGACATCAAAATATAACTATGGACACTATCAAAAGGCAATAAATTATAGGGAAAAAATTATAAATGGTAATTTTATTTATTTTCCAAGAGGATAAGAATGACAAAAAATTATTTTGAAACTTATTACAAAAAATGAATTTGTTTCAGTGAAGAGGAATTAAAACCATAGTGCCCAGATGTCCTAAGCGGTTGTGTCATAATTCTTTGGGTAAAAAGATAAAGGTGGATGTTGAGGAGTTGGTACAGGTTTATCTTATTTTAATTGCATAGAAGTCACCCGAGCTATCACATCTAATTAAAAGAGTCTATGTATGAAAATCCTTTACATAAAATCCAAGAGAATCATATTCAATAGAAATATCATTATCGACAGTAAACTTCC